TTTAATGTGTTTGCTTCATGTGATAGGAAGGAAGCTTCACTACCTTTAGTCTCTGGGAAAGAAAAAATACAGATGATTCTGCAAGTGACTGTTAATGATGTCTTTATGGGCTATCCATACATATGAAACTCAGGGTTTCTTGGAATAGTTTTGTTTAATTATTTAATTATCTCCTCACATTTTTCTAATTCTCAAACCAAATTCTGACCATTTTAGTTTGCTTGGATCTCTGATCTGTTTCCATTTGCAGTGGAACAGAGTAGAAATACCCTGGATTTTATGAGTTGAAAGACTAACTTCTGGGCCTGGTTGGTCTGTTCTATCCCATGACTTTAGGCCAAGCCCTTCATCTCTTGGAAGAACTAAGATGGTTTCCTTATCTGTAAAACAGGAACCTTGTAGCATTTTCGAGGCTCCAAGTGGTGCCAGTGATCATTCTTCCTTATGGTTTGTGTCCTCATGAACTTTCAACTGTAACTGGGGGTATGCCAAAAAAAAATTGCTGAGGATCTGGCACCCCCCAGAAGTTTCATGTCGTGAGGATATTGTGGAATGCGAAGCATCTCGCACAGATCTAAGGTCCTGCATCTAAGGCAGTTTTCAGATGTAAGGCACATTATTCATTCTTGGGGTTTCTTTCATGCTACTCTGATTGTGATAATACCCAGCACACATGGCAGGTATCCAGTATGGTTTGGCCTAATCCATTGTCACTCAAGACTGGTGCATGCACCTTGGATGTCTTGTCCTTGGCTTGTCACCTTGCCTTGGAGTCTCAGATGCTCTGGTCTTCTCTGTGTCATTTATTGAGAATAGCAAGAAAGGGAGCATGTGGGGTCAGCAAAGCACATGTCTTAAATCCTGCTGAACAAAAGCTCCCTCAAGTTTAGATTCTGTATAACAATGTTGGTATGAGCCATTTAGTTTCAGAGAACTTGTAAGAATGGTATAAAAAGACACATGAAACACCTTGAAGGTTTCTTGGAAACTGAACAGCCCTTAACTTAAGAGTTACATACGAGTGAATGGAAACCGTTGTTTTACATTTCACTTGAAATGTGTATGAGGTGGTTGGGGTTAGGCCACAATGAAATATGAGCAGATGTTTCCCTGGTGTTGGCTCAGTATGTACTGCAGATTTGAGGAGAGCTGCCTGCCCACTTCTGCCTCCACCTTGTACCATCTTGGGATAGAGTTTTTATTCACTAACTTCTGCACAATCATCCTTTCAGAAACCTGGGGTAATTTTTAGAGAAATACTAATTCAGGTTTAGGGTCCTAAGGAATAATAAGTGATCAAGAAATCTAATATAATTATATTTCTGTCTCTAACTTCCATATATTATGTTAAGAGTCTCCATTGTATTGATATAACATTTTTTCAGGTCAGATTATCAGCATTTTGAGACAAATATATAATTTGAATTTAAGATAGTGTGATTATTAACACAAAGCTAGTCTTAGTATTTTTCCATAAAATGCAATTAGCTAGTGTCTATATAAGTATTGATTAATGTTTAGATGTTGTTCCTAAAGTTAGAAATATTTGATACCTAATAAGAAGTATTATAATAGGAAATAAGGTAAAGTATTTTAAGAGTAAGAAATATATTTGCTTGGGCTAAATCATCTCAGATTCTCTGCCTGCAAAATAATTTCACTATTATTATTGTTCTAAGTAATTAACAGAACTGCTGCAATCATAAACAAGTAATATAGAAGCACTTTTTCGCAAGTATTCTATGTAACGAGTTGAATATTTTCTCTTACTATCTACTTTTGGACATGGTTATTCCGTGCATGGTTATAATTTTAAGTGTCCATACTACTGAAAAAGGCAAGCCTGATCAATTGTTTACTTGGATATAGAGAAGATTTAATTTTGCTTTAAATCAAAATTGCACACTTTATAAATGTGGGTAAAGCTTTGACTTTCCCTACTGCTTCCTCTGGGACAATGGTATGCTGTCTATGAGAACTCAAGTCCAAACACAGATGTCTTAAGTAGATGGGGACGGTTTTTACAAGCTGGGATGTGGGCTGTTCCTGAGAAGATCCAGTGCCCAAATCCCATAGACAGAGGAGCAGAATCAGGTGTCTCTGATGGGTCCCTGTGCAGCTATGGCTATGCATGAAGACCAGTCTTTGGGGATGACATTGAGGTAGATAGGCAAAAATAATTCCCACTACTTCTCACAGTGAGAACAAGGCAATAATGCCAGCTCCCTGACTGGAAGAAGAAAGCTGCTTGGAGAAGTGTCCACTCAGCACTCCTGCCCAGGCCATACTGCCAGATGCGTGGAGTTAGAGGAAGCTGACTCAGGGAAACCTCTTCCTCAGGCTTTCTGCTGTTGTTGTTGGCCTTCACCTCACACTGGCATCACACCGTCCAAGCGTTCATGTTTAGAAGATGCCCGAGGCCTCCTAGCTAGTCTCATCCTTCAGTTCCAGATTGCCGCAGAATAACTACCCTTCCATTGGGCCTGGCCTACATTTTCCGCGTGTGTTATTCTGGCCAGCTTATGCCATCAGTAAAGTCCTTTTTATTGAGTTATAAATCTAATGGAGGGAACAAATACAACCCACATAGTTCAAATTCATGAATTTTTGTTGGATGGGAGTAAAGAGAGGAAAGTTATTTCAAATGTGGAAAAATTTAATTCACAAAATATTTGTTGATTGACTTGTGCTAGGGGTTGGGGATGCTGCAGTTTTCCCTTCTCAGAACACTTCCTGGTGAACTGAAGAGTCTTTCTGTATAGTAAAATTGACTTCTGCTTTAAGTAGGAGACATTTCTAGATCTGTTGCTTAACTATCCTTGGACTAGTAGAGAGGGATGAATTGGGGAGCACTGTTATGTTTTGTAGTGACTCATTTGATGATTACTCCATTGTTTGAAGGGCTGGGTGTTATGTAATCAATGTTCTTTTCCCCTCCTCCCCCCTTACTCCTAACAATCTGGGATTTTCCACCATTTTGTCAGTCTTCCTGGAGGCATGCTGATTTTCCCATTAGAGTTTTTTTTTGGCATGTCCCAGGGCAATGCAAACTCACCACTCCCTGGTACTTCAGATTCCCAATACTGGTAGGGCCTAGGAGAGCAGTTATAGTGATTGCTTCCTGTTCTTTCTGGGCAGGACCTGGACTCTAGGCCATTTCATGACAGCATGGATGAAAGCAAGCACGGGGAAGGTGCTGCTTGCCCTTCTTTTATGCTATGTTGTTTCCATTCATTTTGACATTCAGAGGCATATATATATATATATATATATTATTATATATATACGTATATATATAATATATATATATTATAATATATATATTATATATATATACGTATATATATAATATATATATATATATAATCTATATATTATATATATATAAAGTCACCAATGTCATCTTTTCCCTTCTACGTTTCCATCTTATTCACCAATAATACTTTATGTATGTTTAGGGATTTCTTTTTAACTAGCCAAGGCTTAGACATGGCTAGCTGAGGAACGTCTATACTGCCCTTGCATGGAACCCAGCCATTTTGTAAGCCAGTTTCAACACTTACACACTGATGATTCAGGCTTCTAGAAATCACTGAAGTGGCAAGCATCACTGCTGAAAGGTCACAGGAAGTCTAGGAGAGATTAGTTTTTTGGGAGAATTTGAGCCTAAGGTGAATTCAGAAGATGTTTGACTTCAGCTACATTTTTGTAGCTATACTGTGAACAGGGTCTGTAAGTTCAGGAGGGGCTGGACACGAGAGAGGAGGTAAGGGTGCGCAGGTCTAGCAAATGATGACATGTTGATGAATCCGCACGTTTTGATAGCCCACTCCTTCAGTATGTACTCGTCAACAAGTAAATCAAGTTAGAGATGTTACCTCCTATATGTACTTAATGCCTGCCTGCTTGTCAGCATTGCCACCTTCCTTGTCAAAGCCACCATCATCTCTCATCAGGGCTAAGTCTTCTCACATCCACTCATACCTCCTAATCCACTCCTTGAAGAATTTCAGGGCAGTCTTCTATTGCCCAGTGTGGTCTGGTCATTCCTCGGCATTAAACTCTCAGTGACTTTCTGTTTCACTTAGGATAAAATGATAATTTCCTTAACATGCTCCCTGGTTACCTGTTCAAACTTTATCTCAAGTGACTGTCTTCCTTGATCACTCTGCTTCCCCCGTATCTTTTTGATACTAACATATATCCAATCTCATGACCTTCATTTATACTGTTTTTTTCTAGGATTGTGGTACCTTAATTTTAGTGCTCATCAGGATCACCTGGATTCTGTGTTAAAATACAGATTTCTAGGGTTCACTTCCACAGCTTCTGATTCAGTAGGGCTGAATTTTTGCATTTTATAGGTTCTGGGTGATGTCAATATAGCTATTCTGGGTATCATACTTTGAGAACCACTGTGCAGGTCACCTGTCTCTCTTTTTTTATGTGAGATCTTTTCTGGTTCCTCCAGATTTGTAGGAATTTCTGTTCATATGTTAATATGCTCTTGCACTTTTCTTTTGAAGCCCTCATTGGCATTATATTTGAACATTTAATTGTGTCAATAGATTTTTAAATCCACTGCAAGAACTGGATATCTAGGTGCCATTTCTGTTGTTTACTATTGTTTCTTTCACTAATTCCTTACAAATAAGTATTTCTTTTTATATGTAACTGAAAATATGTAGCAACACTAATACTTCCAGTGAGTATGAAAGATAATCAGGAACTATACCTGGGTAAATTGGCAGAGGTATACAGAAAGAATAAACATACTGTGCTCATTAGGGATGCAGGACATTTTAGACAAAAGTTAGGGTTTTTTTTAAGGGGGCCTAGGGCATTGTGGAAAACCCCTTAAATTTTACCTGCTCTGATGGGGATGTTATCATGATTCTTTCTCATCTTGCTGCCTTCAACCCATCTGTACTCTATTGTGTTTTACAAGTGGTTAATTACCTATTTAATTTTTATTATTAATATGCTTTTTTTCTTTACAGATATGGAATGTGCAGATGTCCCACTATTAACTCCAAGCAGCAAAGAAATGATGTCTCAAGCATTGAAAGCTACTTTCAGTGGTTTCACAAAAGAGCAGCAACGACTGGGAATCCCAAAAGGTGTGTTTTTGTAGTTGAAAAAAGAGACACTGAGGCAGATCATTGGGAATACTCATTTGCTCACCTATAGTGAGGTAGACGAGTCTGATGACTAACCACATGTGAATCAGCAGCAAGGGTTTGTTGCAGACATCCATTAGAACAGCCATAAAAGTACACACGCTGATGATCCACCATCTCCTAGGCTTGTCACCAGCATCCTGGTCATAGGACAGTAGTTCCCAAACCTGTTTTCACATTCAAATCTCCTCTGGATCTTTGAAAACTTCCAAGGCCAAGTTCTAGGCCAGACCAATTCAGTCTTCACTTCTGGTGGCATCTGTACTTTTTAAGCTCCTCAAGTGATTCCCAAATGCAGACAAGTTTGGGAAACTTTATTTCAGGGTCTCTTTGGGCCATCATCAGATGAATTCAGCAAGCTGCAGTTCTTCTAATTTAGTGATTGCTCTTTTCTCTTCCATGTTCTTTGGCAAGATGTGTTTGTTCTTTGGGTGTTCTTATCTGAAAGCATTTATTGAGGAATGGAAGGGGTCTGGAGTTGTCAGAAAGGAGAATTTAGTGGAGAACACATCAGCTTCATCGAGGAACATTTCATGGACCATTGAGAGCAGAAAGGGTGCTTTTCTATTAGGAAGAGTATGGCTGACTTTATATAAGGCCAGTTCTGCTACTAGATGAGAGATGTCCAGTCTGTCAAAGATGGATTCTGTAAATGTATCTGTACACCTTTTCGCCATGTTTACAACTGTTTCACAAATCTCGGTGGGCAGCAATGTCAAACATCCTTTACAGATCACAAGGAACCATAAAGTGACATTTGGCCACTGGGTTTTCCAAAATCTCATAGTTGCTGGATTGATGTGTGTGCTCTTGGAGCATCAGTGATGTGGCCACTGCAACCTGCTCTCATCTGAGAGCTCTTTTGGTCTCATTGGTGAGTGTAGCAATGTTTGACCTCAGGTCATGTGTGAAGATTATATATTGTTTGTGCTACAGTTCCACTCAAAGCAGGGTCTCTGATACGTACAGACTTGCAAGGTATCTAGTATAATGTCAATACCCTGCGTCATTTGAATGACTTCCACTAATTGCTATGGTTGTTACTAAACACAATTGGCTAAGGTAAAAAATAATTGAGAATAAAATCCCAAGTATACTATGAGGGTTGAGAGCAGAGAAAGGCATGTGCAATTTGTAGAGAACATTTGTCATTATTGCTATTGAAGCAGCCATATTCCCTTGTCTAGGGCTTTTTAAAGTGTCTAATGGAAATAAGGCAGTGAGAGAGGAGAGTCATGAAAATGATTCATTTAGTTTACCTGAATGGAGGGAAGTTACTATTCCTGCATTGCTTTTTAGCTGACCATAGTTCTTCCAAAGGGCAAAATAGAGAAGGTGGGATGTTGAGTGTGAGGAGGAGGTTATGAAAGGTGCCTGAGGCTCTGTAGTCCCAGACTGGTATTTCCTAATTCTATGGGGAATAGTATCCTTGGTGATGTTCAAGTCCTTGTTTTCCACTTCCTAAGACTGACCCAGTGCATCTTCATTTGGTCTCTTCCCTCAGACCCCCGGCAGTGGACAGAAACACATGTTCGGGATTGGGTGATGTGGGCTGTGAACGAGTTCAGCCTGAAAGGTGTGGACTTTCAGAAGTTCTGTATGAGCGGAGCAGCCCTGTGTGGCCTGGGTAAAGACTGCTTCCTCGAGCTGGCTCCAGACTTTGTTGGTGACATCTTATGGGAACATCTAGAGATCCTGCAGAAAGGTAAATCTGTGAAAACTGTGGGGTGGGGGAGTTGGGTGGAGTTGCTGTAAGAGTAGCTGGGGGATTGACCTAGTAGTGGAGTGTCAATGTCATTGGCTGTGGGTGTTCAATCATAGCATAGATGGTTTTTGGGGATGCCCTTCATATAATGCCTGGCATACAGTACATGGTTTATTTTTCTTCTTTGTTCAGACTCTAATCTTTAGCAAGATTGTACTCCTGTAGTTTCCTGATACACAAAATGCTGACCCCAGTTGTTTTCTTAGATCCATGCGTTATTTGAATGAACAGTGCCCATAGCCAACTTCAGAATAGTTTTTGTCCTGCCCCCCCGACCAGAAATTTTAATAGACACTCCCTTGACCTATGGCCTTGTAATATCTGTTCACATCCACAGAAGAGCTTAGTTTCTCTGAGCTTATTAATAAGATTGGCTTCTCTGCCCACTAGTTGGATTGGAATTGCTGTAGCACAGAATACCTTTTACATCTGGAACAGAAACTGGGGTCATATCAGGACACTGTGTTGCAACCTTGTAATGACATGACCTCCCCTACGGGCCTCCTCCAACCTTTTTGGACCAAGTGACTCACATCCCACGGTCCTGGCTGAGTATAGAAACAGCAGCAGCAAACTCGGGTGTTTTGGCACTTATTTTTCTGAATTTCTTCTTAAAATAAATTGCAGTTACCAGCAGTCAGCAGTGCCCTGCAGCTGACTGTAAGCCTAGAAGCCCGTTGCCCTCTTTAACCCAGGCCCACCCTTTCCCTGTGGTCACCAGTTCCAGCCCTTGGCGCAAACGTTGGGGGGAAGGGCACAAAGCTCAGGAGTTGCACTTTTATTCCATATAATACCTTCCTCTGTTGAAGAATGTTTTCCACTCTGCAGTGTTCATGAGAGACCCATGTTTGATTCCTCTGGGCACAGAGGAATCTGCTTCTCGTTGAAAATGAAAAATAAGTGAACACAGTCAAGAACTAGGTGACTCTTTCTGTGGCTATAGTTTCCAAGGGCGGGCAGGCAGCTCAGTCTTCCCCAGAGCACTGGTGTGCTTTCTGTGTAACTGCACCTAAGCCTACCCCTAGGTGTTGACGTGGGGGATCTGTTTATAGGGGAAAAGATATGGCAGGCTCCTTGCATATCTGATTCAACTGGTGGCTTCTAAACATGTCAGAAGATTGCACCAGACCATGTAACCCAAATATGTTCTGCTAATACAGTATTTCCCTCTATTGTGGAGGACAGAGCTGCTGGGTGTATGGGAGTGCATCAGCCTGCCCCTGCAAGTAATATCCATAGTGTGCCTCCTTGTTTCCAAAGTCCTCTACAATACATTGTTTTGAATTATAAGAATAACCCTGTGAGATAGGAAGGGCAAGGACTCCTATTGTCCTTGTTTGCAAAATGCGACTTGGGTTAGAGGGTTACTTCAGTTTTTACCATTTTCTTGAGCTTTATTTTATTTAATTTTTAATCTTTTTTTCATTTGACTTTTTGATCCTTTTAAATTTAACTTCCCATCCTGTGTTATTTCTGTGATAACTGTGGACTCATTGGGAGCTTTTGGCCCTAAGACAGGATTGGCCTACCTTTCTGCAAAGGAACAATGGAAGGGAATTTAAGTGAATTAGGATGCAATTGGATATGTGTGTGAACAAAAGTCATGCCATCCCGCCCAGTGTTCCATTGAGAGAGGCAGTTAAAACCATCGCTCTTCAGCATTACATATTTGCGGAGATGAGCAATGTGTTTGTACTGAAGGTACAGCCTTCATTCTGTAATTAAACTAAAGCAACACAGCATCCAAAGAACATAGCTATTTGGGGTGGAGTTGAAGGCCAAAGGTACAGGAGATGTTTTAATCTGATAAGCTGCTAAAGCAAAGTTTAATCATCTTATCTTGACTGGGAACTGTTCTTTTTCTTTTTGTTTTGTTTCATGCAGGCATAAACTTGTTTTCCCATCAGGCTTTGCTCCCAGCAAGCTATCAAATACCTGAGGAAAACCCCAAACCAACACAACTCTCTTTATGTCTGATTCTTATAGTGAAATGCAGTCCAGCTCCATAAGAGCCAGAGGCTACCCCATTTGATCCTAAGCTCACCCTGGCTTAGTGGAAAGCATTTCTATTTTCAGGTGTCTTTCCTCTCCATTCCTTTCTCATTCCCAGGGAAGTTGGCATCTGGACATCAGTTATGCAGTTCTTCTCCCCCTTTACAGGGCCCTCGTGGTTCACCAAGTAGAGTCACCTTACCAGTGTTCTGCTTCTTGTCTGGGCCTGAACTTGAATTTGAGAGCAATGGGAAAAATACAGAAAAAAAAAAAAAAGACATCTGTTAGAAGTGGAAGATATAAAATCTACCTGCTTAAAGATTGGACAGTATTTCTGAAAAGTTTTTGAATCGATCAGTTTAAATATTGGGTGCTGATCTTGGTCTCCTGAGACATCTTTAAGACCTCAAGTCTAATCTCTAATGTTGTATACATACTTACAGCACAAAGGCATCAAGAACAAGGGTAGAACGTTTTCCCAACCCTTAGCAATTACTCACTGATTCTCTTTCCAAGATATTAAACCCCATTTTGCAACTACTGAAATAATAAACTTAGCCATACTTTTATGATCTCATCTTGAGACAAGGCCCAGTCAAGGGAACTCAAGATATCAATTCAGTTAATGAACTTGCAGATTTCTTAGAAAAAGGGTTGAGATCATTGTGGTCTTTGTATTCAATATCCTCTTAGGCCAAGTGTTACTTGCATATTGACTTTACTTCATTTCCTACTCTGTCTGTTTCAGAGGATGTGAAACCTTATCAAGTTAATGGAGTCAACCCTACCTATCCAGAATCCCGCTATACCTCGGATTACTTCATTAGTAAGTTCCATTTCCTATTCCTCCCTCTCTTTGTTTATTATAATGAAGAACTAGGACAGGTCTCCTATCTCAATTGATCTCAGGCTCTTTGATAGGAATTCTATGGAAACTAATATTTTCTTAATGGAGACTCTTATTTATGATTTCTCACAAAGTACAAGGCTTCAACCTATGTATAGACGTTATCAACCTGTAAGTTCCTGCATCACTAGGATCTCTCTCTGATATCTTCAACATGAAAGTCATGGAGAATGAATATAACCTTCTTTAAGAGAGTTCCATGCAGCTTTCTAGTGCAGAAAACAAAGCCTCCTTTTTTAGTATAAGATACTTAACCATACTGGAGAGGTGGTTAGAGAAAGAATAGTGTAGGATTACTCTTAGCTGATGGCCTTTCTTTCAAAGGGAGTTTTAGACAGGTTTGTTTTCATTTTATCTTCTTACTTTATTAAAATTTTTATTCCAGTAACAATAATATTAATTACTATATATCAAGAATTTACCGAGTGTGAGCCATGTTGGCAAACATTTTACATATATACTTTCACTCTCATTAGATCTTCATCATAATGCTCTGGGGAAAATTGCAATCATCCTCATTTTGTAGATGAGGAAATTAAGTCAGAAAAGGGAAGTATCTTATCAAGGTCATAGCAATTAAGTAGTGGGTCAGGTTAAGACAAAATATCTTTTCACTTAAAGCGTGTTTTCTTTTAATTTCTAAGGTAGCCAGCTCATTCCACACTGTGAGGTTGTAGGTGGTAAAGAACTGCTTGTTTAAGATACAAATGTCACCTCTCCAATGATAAACATTCTCTGCTTCTAGGCTATGGTATCGAGCACGCTCAGTGTGTTCCTCCCTCGGAATTCTCAGAGCCCAGCTTCATCACAGAGTCCTATCAGACGCTCCATCCCATTAGCTCAGAGGAACTTCTGTCCCTCAAATATGAGAATGACTACCCCTCAGTCATTCTCCGGGACCCTCTCCAGACAGACACCTTGCAGACAGACTACTTTGCTATCAAGCAAGAAGTTTTAACTCCAGACAACATGTGCATGGGGAGGACCAGTCGTGGTAAGTCAAAGCTCTTCTCTTAAAGCTTTTGGGTTTACAAGAATTATCTGCCTTTATGAACTTTTCAGGTCCCATATTTTTCTCACTTATTAGCACCTTAGATCCTTAGTTTCTACCTTCCCATCTGGGAATTTCAGCCACATTCATTATGATGACAGAGACCTCAGGGTCCACTGTGGAATTCAAGTATAGCAGAATAAACAATCAAATATCTTATTTGGAGAAAATATTTCACCCAAATAATAACTCTAGTTGAATTTGTTTAGTTTTTAAAGGTATTCTGTATTTTCTTTGAGAGGATTTTGTTTGAGGAAGACACAATCAAAGAAAAATGGCCCTGGTGACCATTGTGGGGAAACTTAGGCTCTGCGTGTACCTTGGTATTTCTCCCAGAGTACTCTCCTAGGTCAGACTGTAGAACCTGGTTTGGTACCTGGAATGACCTCTTGCTGCTCTGCATCTGTTACTTACTTCTTTGGTTTGACAAGATACAGGATGATTAACCAATGGTTTACTTGGAACCAGTCATCAACAGTGTGGTGAAAGTGTGTATTTAGCTAGAGCACCAGGGGAAGAGGTGGCTAAAAAGTTCCAAAAGAAGACACTTGCTGACACAGCTATTATAATAATGATAAAACATTCACTGGCAGTGAGGTAAATGCTTCAACATAGAGCTGGCTGACATAAAGCAAAAATGGTAAAACACATCCAAATTTTTAGATCAGGACATAAACACTCAGAGGCATTGCCCACCTAGTGGTGTGTTCAGATTGTTTTATTTCTGAGAAAAGTGCAGTCTGCTATAAGGAGGGGCTTGCTCATCCAGGAAGATCTAGTTGATTTCTGAAAAGGTAAAAATGATGACTTTTCTGGTGGATACATAGGAAGGAATCATAAATGGGAGGAGGAGCAGGAGAAAGTGATAGAGAAACCTTTGGTCATTTGGACTAGCCCATGAGTACTTTCTGCTCAGTGACTGACTTTCTGTGATAACCATTTTGAGGATCTTGGAGGAGAATCAACGGCACCTTTACTTTGGAGAATCACGCCGTACACATCATGGACCATGCACACTGTTATCTTCTTTGTGTGTTCACGCTCATGCTTTTTCTCAGCAAGCCTTGGGATACCACCAGGTCCTGCACAGGGGAAGTCCCTGCAAGATCAGAACCCATAATCGTCCTTTTTAGGGCCTCAGGATGTTTGTGTTTCAGACCAAAGGGGATGGGTGGGACCAGGTTTGCCTTCCCCTTTCTGACTGTTTTTTATTTTTGGGTGGGCCTATTTAAATACATACACACCAGCAATGTATATGTGTTCTTCTTCTCAAGCAGGTCAAAGCATTAGAACAACTTTCTCATGGGGTTTTCTCAGCATGTATGTAATGAGACCAAGTTGTGGGTTTGGTGTTCAGCTATGGTGTAAATCTGGGTAGATCTACTGTCATATCGTTTTAAAATTGTCTGGCTTTGCATTTGTGTGATTGTTCCTTCTTCCTCGCCTCTTTTTGTTTTGGTCTCCACCAACCCTTCAAACCCAAACTAATGACTATAAGCCCAAAGTGACCCTTACCAAGGGACATGTGGTATTTCCTTCTGGCTCTACTGTCACTCCTTCCCTCCAGATTTCAGGCCACGAAAACTTAAGGGAAGACCATTTTTTGCAAATCTTCTTTCTGTGTATTAGAAATGCTGTAAACAAGACTGATTCCAAGGGCCAATTGAATCTGAGATGGTATGCTTGGTTTAGACTGAAAGCATTACTGTTAGCTGCTTGTTAATACTCGTGGTATTCATATACTGCATTATAGTATACAAAGTGCTTCTATGTCCCACTCATTTGGACTCTAAGGACTGTCTTTGTGCCAGTCTTTCCAGTAGGTTGCTGTGGACTACCCATCACTGTTCAGAGTGCTCTGAGGTCTGCTTGGCAGAGTCGGATAGCTTGGGAAGGACCTTGCTGAAGTATTTCTCAGGAAAGCTGGCCAGTAGTTGTCTTAGAGGACACTTGCTTCCCTGCATGAGCACAGTAGCAGAACTGAGTGTCTAATCCAGTTGGAGTCAACCCATTTTTGGAGAAAATACCCGTAAATGAAGGTTTCCAGCTCCAGGATTGTGAAATAGATTAAAATGAAAGCTACCCTTCTAATGTAAACTGCACTTCTCAACCGGTTGTGTTTGCTCATGTTTGAGAGGTTGCCAGAGAGTGGTTCTGGTGTAGTTTAATGCCCTTGCTTATTGGGACTCTTTAGAAACTCAACTATTTTGTTTGTGGAAATTCTTATCTCCTTGCCATCCAAATATAATAAAAATGGGTGATAGATCCAGGCATGGTAGTGCACGCCAGTAATGCCAGCATTTGGGAGGCTGATGCAGGAGGATCTGGAGTTTGGGTCCAGCCTGGGCTACATGTTGAGACCCTATCTTAACAAAACAACCTCCCCCAAGCCCCTCCCCACAGCCTGATAAAGATAAGAATCAATTCAGGAGATATAGCATAGATAGTACCTAAATATGGGTAACTTAGTGGGGGTGTTCTTCATGAAAATATTCTTTCTTAGGCTTTATAGTGTCTCACAGAGAAATAAAATGGCCATTAAGATTAATAGCTGGTATGAGCAAACACCTTTTCATGAGATGCCAGAAAACTTCCTGTTTGTTAAGAAGAGGCTATGGTATTCTACTTGTGGACTGTTTTCCTGAGTCACCTAATGTGACTTTCTGGAAGGGACACCTCCTTCATTTATAATAGTAACAAAGAGGTACGCATGTGACAGGGATGGGTAGCCTGGGCCAATCACTCCACAGAGCTTTTTGAATTGCCCTTGGAAGGTTACCCTCATGGGTGAGCAGAGGAAGGAATGAGATGAAGCAGACAATGCCACTTTCTGCTGTGAGCAGGACAAGGAGGGCTTAGGGAACACAGAAAACCCATACCAGTGGGCTATGGAAAAGTTCTGTTTTCTTTAAGTACATTTCATCTGGGATTGAAAGCAATTTTAGAAAACATCTTTCCTATGTATTTAATTTTGATTTGGGCATCCACTTATGTTTGAATTTTATGTTTATAACCAATCCTCACTGGTATGAAGGAGAGAGTACGCTAGAAGCACATTAATATGAAGTCATACAAGCAAAGCTTCTTCTGGGATTTAAAATTTATAGATCAGCCATTCCTGAACAATTGAGAATTGATTTGTGGGTATTTCTGCATAAACAGTTGTCACATTCTTTTGTCTCTTGGCATATGCTGGATTGAGATGGTCGTCAAATACCCTGTGATTTGCCTTAGGTTACCTGAAAAGTATCTGAGCATATAAAAAAATAATATTTTTATATATAAAATATATTATATATATAATATATATATAAAATATATTATATATATTATATATATAAAATATATATATTATATATATAAAATATATTATATATATAATATATATAATATATTATATATATATTATATATATAAAATATATTATATATTTATTATATATATACTATATTATATATAGTATATATATATAAAATATATTATATATTTATTATATATATATATAATATATATATATACATATAAATATTCCCAGGAGCCTTTTTAGCTCTAGATGCATTTATTTTCTTCTAATTTTTTTTATTAGCCTCTGTTTTAATGGCATTTTTGCCAATGGAAATTTCTTTAAGAGCTCTTGTGCAATCATCACAGCTGTTTATAACCTGGTTTGGGAAATTAATGAACTTGCATGATCTTGTGGTCAGTTAAGAATGTCTGAAGCAACTCACAGAGTAAAGGATTTCTGCAATGCTATGGACCTTAACTCTTTAATCAGCTGCTTTGTTTTTTTACTGCACTTTCTCAATGAAGTTTGAATTTCAAGTATAGAATTGTACTTGGGAAGGATAAAGAATATGGTTTTCTATTTAAGAGTGAATGTTTTTGTAATATCCTAGAAAAGCATGCCACAACATCTTTCTTTTTTGAGAAGGTATAAATGTAGGGCGTATTTCATTTGAAAATAGTATTTGGAAAAAAATGCTAAAAAAAAAAAGTATCACTTTAGTTCTAGGTCAAAAAAGACTAATGAAATTATTTTCTAATGATTAAAATATTTTACCAAATACATATTTGATCTATTGCAAGAACCTTTGTAAATGCTACAATGTACCACTACTCAGCACAACAATAAAAAAGTAAAAAAGAAAAATTCTATGAAAATAAAAGTTTTTTTTGTGAAGTTGGCCCTTTTGAAATCATCTCACTGGCTTGAGTTGGGAAAAGAATTCAGTCTAACACTACTCTGATTATTTCATTAATTCATCAGGTCTGATACATCAGCCCCAAATCCTGTAACAAGAAGTGCAATTTTCAGCTTTTAGATTTTTGACTTTGGAATTCTTGAGGTCCCCAATACTGCATGTCTTTCTGGCAGATCTGAGCAACACTTGACATTGAATCTTTGTACTAGGAACTCTCAGCCAGGCACAGAATGGTAGCAGCCTCTCAGGTTGCAGCCTTGCACTCCCATTCTTCTACCTAGAGTAGACCCCATAACCTCTGGAGCTTCTGTTCCCATGGGCCCCTTCCTCCTGCCATTCCTCCACAGATCTGATTAGCAATCAGTCCTCCATAAGAGGGTTTTTACAGTTGTTTTTTCCCAATCCCTCCTTCCCTGTCCTCTTCCCACCCCCTCCTTTACCTCCAGGTAAACTCGGGGGCCAGGACTCTTTTGAAAGCATAGAGAGCTACGATAGTTGTGATCGCCTCACCCAGTCCTGGAGCAGCCAGTCATCTTTCAACAGTCTGCAGCGCGTTCCCTCCTATGACAGCTTCGACTCTGAGGACTATCCAGCTGCCCTGCCCAACCACAAGCCCAAGGGCACCTTCAAGGACTATGTGCGTGACCGTGCTGACCTCAACAAGGACAAGCCTGTCATTCCTGCTGCTGCCCTGGCTGGCTACACAGGTAGGCGCCTTCCCCACAACTAGTTGGCCTGTCTGCATGGGCCAGTTTAGTAGTAGGCACTGTGAAGGTCATACTCTTTTTTGGGGGAGTGAGGAGATTTCTTTAAGAGGTCTCCAGTCTCTCAAACCACTGTGCTTGTGAATCCCCAAGGGGTCATTTTCAAGAGTGGTAGGAAACATATTTTGGATCTTTTCCATATCTGGGGGAAGGGACCTATAATGATCTTGAGTTCCTGGAAACTGTCTAAGGGCTTGGCATTGAGGGACTTTTCCTGGCCTACTTTTGGGAGGTCTTCCCAAATGCAAAACAAAAAATTGCTTCTCTTAAAGAATGACTTCCATGCTGGACTGTTTTGTAGTACAGTTTTCATTAGGTTCACTATTTAAATGTGGGAAAAGTATGCTTTGTGGCCCTAGATCTTATTCAGATCTATCCTGGCCATATATAGGAAACCTTCTTTCTCACTTAGTTTTAGGATCAATCTTATTCCAGGAGGGAAAGCTGTAATTAGAATAGTAGTGAGTAAATAAAGATAGCAAGAATGGAGTGAATAAAGATTGGGAAAACTTGGGTTTTGATTAAGAATTTGGTAATAGAGCAAAACACTTCACTGTTCTGATGGTTGTGGCACATATGCTGCCTAACTTGGGAAACATTTGAGAGTGCATATCAGAAATATTCCAAGGAATATTAACTAATGTGTTAATCATTAGACCCTTTCTGTAAGATGGCAGTTTTTTTTTAAAGCTTAGAAAGTGTATTTTGAGTAGAGCTTATTTTAAGCTTTGCTCAGATGTTGTCTAGGCCAAGAAAGACCTTCTAATGTCCTCTCCTTGGACAGGTTATCTTATGGGAACTCTGTGTGAATGAAGACAAATGGCAAAATCTGTGTTTTATTGAGACATCTGTCTGATCTGAAGAGTGTGCTAGGTCCTTATTGTATTCAGGAAAACCTCAGGACTTTTTTTTTTCCAAAGAAAAACAACTGACATTTGAGAACAAAACTCAAATACTTAGAAAAGTTACTCCCCCTTCAAAGATCAAGACTGTGTCTTTTATGTTTCCTGCCTCAAAGCCCTTAGTACAATTCATTGTATGAAATGCTCAAGAGCTAGGTCCATGTTTTGGGGGTAGTATCAAGGACTGTGTATAGAGTCCTAGGCAAGGAAAGGAACTTAAAGATCTCTACTTTAGTCTTTCTAAAAGATCCCATGGTTGTTTCTTGAACATGGGTAGTAGGGAGGAACTTGCTGCGTTTCTCATCTCTGGAAGGGAGATTATTAGAAAGTTTACCCATTTTCATAGAGACATCTGGAAGTAGGAAAAGTATATGAAGTCTGTCAGGATGTACAAGAGTGCCAGGCCCTGTTGTTAGGATTAGACTCCAATTGGATGCACTGATAAAGTGGGGGAGGGGAGAAGCTCTGCTTAATTGGGAAGAGAAAGAAAAGGCCTCAGCAGCTTTAAAATGATTGATGGCACATTCTTGGGTATTAAATCTTCCTCCCTCCCCCCCTTCCTTCCTTCCATTGTTTCTTCGTTATGATTAGAGATTTAACTTTTCAGACTCTCAAATGGTGGTAAGAACAACAGCACAGAAAACAGAAGTCCTCTGTGCTCCCTTCCAGCTTTAACACACTGTGTGACTTTAGGCAAATTTCCCTTGTACCCTTTTCTACTTTTAGTGAAGCAGAGGTGTTCATCCTTATCTTGACAGTAGGAGATGTTTGAAAACATAATTGAACCAAATCAATTAGTTAAACAAATAAGTGCTAGACCTTATGTTAGACGCGGGGTGGGGGACCCCTAATTATAACAAATTATTTCAGCAAATGAGCACGGACCAAGGGCAGATAAGACAGTAGCTCTTGCCTGGTTGAGTTTATTGCACATGTCCTTAGGCTTGAACCAGAATGTCTTACTTCTGTGATTCAGGTGAAGATTGGGATTTGTTAGGGTGTGGGAGCAACCCACACTTTGGTGACTTTTTCCATGTGTTCTATGTCTGGTGAACACTCCCTGCCTGCATGGTGGACTCTCTGATATCGTACCCTTCTGGCCCCTTCTTATTTCAGATATAGGATGGAGAGGGGATGGAGTACATTCTGCCTCTTCTCCTCCACCCAAGATCGTGACTACAATGCCTGCAAATGGGTGTGTGGCTTTTTGCAGACATGTTAAGATGAGTTAAAATTTGGACTAGTTCTTTGGAAAATGGAACTCATTGTACAAGTGTTGACAATACTTTTTTCTCTTCCTCATAAAAGTCACACTCTGGTCCTGCCCTTGTTTTCTATCTGTTCTCTTCAAATTCAATTGCTGCAGAGTATGTGTGGCCTCACAGGAGGAGCGCCTGTATCCCGAATACTTGACCCACATTAAAGGGCATATGTTTGCATTCTTGGAGCTGGGAAGAGAATATATCTTCCTGCCCTTATACTAGGAGCCCAGGTTTCTGTCCATACCACCTCTGAAGGAATACATTTTTCTTCTTTATATGATGTCTTAGTTACTGCACTGTAAGTGTGGAAATCAGCTAGAAACCGAATTTTTACATTCTCTTGCACAGTTACATTCTTCATCCAAAGATAAGAAAATTGCATCAAACTTCACTGGGCTCCCATGGCAACTTGTTAAATGAGGTCGAGATGTGGGGGCAGATAACATGGCTTGAAAGCCTGCCTGTTAGCTGAGTTAAGAATACATCAAATGCAATGTTGGCTTCCGCCAAAATGTACCTCCTTACCTTACTGTGAACTGCTTACGGTTATCAAACTGATACGATCAGAAAGCTCCATTTTCTCTTATTCGAAGATAGATTCTGAACCCCTTCTTATTACAACACAGTCTAAGAGAAGTAGCCCAATGTTTTCTGTGTATCTTACAGACCTTAGCAAAAATTTTTTCTGATTCTTGGAAAATATAGGCATCTTTGATTTTTTTTTTTTTTCAGTTTTGGCAGGGATAGAATACTACACTGGGTGTCAAATTGTGTTCTTCCCTCCTCTCTGTTCCTGTAGCCCTATTTTGTAGATGGTGAAACTGAGGTACAAAGAAGTGGTTTCTTCAAGGCCATGCATTTGCATTTTACAAGAAGGTAGATCCAGAATTGAATCTTAAATGCCACACATGTTCACCTGAATACACAGTCTGTTCTCCATTTTCAAAAATGAGAATTCTCCTTGGTTTTAGGAATGAGAATTCCCCTTGCTTATCTCCATTGCCTCCTGGAGGATTAGGATCTTATTTACCTCTTGTCACTAATTATCATCATATATATATGGGTTAGAGTGTGAGGGAGAGAGAGTAGAGCTCGCCTTTGGCTTCAGAGTTCCTGACCTATGAACTTCATTCCAGATTGCCACAGATAATAGTCCATTCCCATGTCTACTGCAATTGTTACTGAGTGGATCCTATGTAATGACTTTGTAGAAATGACTATTTGTCTTCCCATCTTTAAGTTGCAATTATGAATGAAGTGGTTCTCTTTTCTTACCTGGAGCCTGAAAAAGGCTAAGCCAAAAGCCATTCATTAACTAGCATGAAATTATGTTTTATAGTGTAAATCTTCTCTTAGTTTCCTTAAGGGTGAATTTGGGGCTATGTGGGATTCAGATATGTGTGTGTGTGAGTGTGTGAAAGACAGAGAGAGAGAGAGAGAGAGAGAGAGAGAGAGAGAGATAGCACACAAAAAAAGTACCAGTCTTGTACAAAAGTGGCCTCATCTTTCCCCCTATGCCTTCTCAAAATGCTTCTTCTCTGAGTGAATCCTCTCTTTTGGCCTTTCACAGGCGGCACCAGAACCAGTCTAAAGTCACACAATAACAGAGGCCCAGGGCCCAGCTCAGAACCTTGGAGTTCTGAGTTTCAGGGCTCACTAACCCGAAGCTACTGCTGAAACGTGAAAATAGACATGTTTGCTGGAAAGGGAAGTGCTCAGAGCCCTTCAGTGCAGAATGCAGCCTGTGATCTGGCAGCACTACCCATAGACACAGTTTTCTGAAGGAAAGCTGGGCTGCCAAATAATCTTCACATCTTTGGGCACAAAGGACAGCTGGAAGCTTTTGGTGTGAGCCTAGGTTAGGGATAAGAACAGTCACCAGAGGTCCCGAGAAACTAGTATAGTGTAAGTTTGTGCAGATTTTTAATATTCTAAACACAGATGGGTTTGTTATTAGGAACAGTGCAGAGTTTTTAAATGTGTCACCTGAGCTGGGCACTGGACTGTAAAGTCTTTCCGTGTAACTGCTGTTGGAATAAGACAGTGAGAGGTGACTAAAGTTGAGAAGGATGAACTTGTTGACATAAGCACAAAACTCTGGTGTCCAGTTGGTGCACTAGCTACCTTTTCAGAGACCTGGAGATGTTAGGTGGCTTTGGCTTCCCTGAGCTCCATGGGCCTGGTGAGGCCAAGGCTGGCTCACAGGCTTGCTAAAGCTATTGCAGTCTGTGTCAAGCATCCTTAGGCAGAACCTGGATGGGGAAGAGGAAAGAGCTTGGAAGAAGAATGGCGGAAACACAGTCTTCCCTCTCTTGCTCAGAGGCAGCTGTGATTAGTAGGTTGTAAGAAGTCAGCCAGCAGCTCAAAAACCGAAGGGATTCTGATTCTTTGTGCTGTTTGGCAGTGGGTCTTAAGGGGACGTGTTGGATGGATTTGGGGCTCTCAGTAGAATGATGAGTTAACATGCTGCTCAGTTTTGGGTTTATGGGAAAATATGTTGGAGCACTGGGAAGGAAAATTCCCAGAAAGATTTGCAGTTGAGAGGAAGAGCCCTTTTCCATTGCCTGCAGAGCTGTTCGAAGCTTCTGCCTCTTCTCTGATGAGCTTTGTAACAATTCTCTTAATCGTTTTCCACCAGTAGAAAAGAATCAGATGCTTATAGGATTTGGCTTCTCTCCCCCCACCAATGTCTTTAAAAAGATACAGAAAGCAGAGGTTCCCTGTTGTAGTTTTTGAAGGCCGCAACAGCTGAGCCCCTTCAGAACCTTGATTCAGCAAC